CCTCGAACTTTAAGAGCGGGTAAGATGTAAGATGTACGGATATGGGGTAAACCAGTCAAACCATGAAGAGGGAGAAACAGGTTAAACATGGTAGTGGTGTCTATTGTCATACGTAGGGTTGAAACACAAGTTGAGCTGCCGGGGGACAAAAAGGTATCATGACTGAGTAAATACGAAAGATGGCAATTCCGTAACACTGAGATATTCGATCGCTCGGAGTTGAGTGTAGGGGAATATTGGGAAAATAGAGATACAAACAACAACCAAACAAAAAAAAAAGGAAATTGGGGCAACATATTCATCCGAGTGAAGTTGAAGTTGTGTGTTTTATATATAAGGTATATATATAGGTACCTACCTATATATATGTATATAAATGGGTGGTGATGATTCCAGTTGTATGTTGAATACATTTACGACATCATAAGTGTAATGTACCTATGTAGGTCTGAGTTGTAAGCATACCTTAAGGTACCTCATATAGGTTAGCACCTAGGCAGGTACTACTCGAGTTGTTTCCTTTTAGGTACAATACTTGGATGTTGCTGCCGAAACATCCATGAATGCGCCCAAAGTTGGGCAATCGACATGTAATTACCTAGTAGGTTATCTACTAGGTCTACCTACAGTAATGGTCCAAAAATATCCGGCCCACCCCCCATTTTACACCAAAACTCAGCCTTGTCACTCTGCAATAACTCTACCAGCAAAAATGATAAAAATATTCTCTCAGCTTCTTGTTATAGATATTTACATCGGCTAAAGTTCTTATATACAAAGTTTCTTCATACACTCAAAATTGATAAAGTTACCGAAGTTGAAAGTTGATTTAAGTTGACTTTCTTAATTTTCCTATATAAAAAATTGGGATTTGTATGGGGAACTCTCTAAAACTTGACATACATCAACTTCTAACCACGGTAACTTTACGAGCTTTAGATGCATCAAAAACTTTTATATACAAAAAATATATTTAACTCAAATCCCTACAAGATAGAATTAAGACCTTAATTTTACCATTTTTATTCGTGAAGATATTGCAGAGTGGCAAAGCAGCAAAATGGCTGTTTTTGGTGCGAATTTCGAGGTGGGCCGGATATTTTTGGACCCTAACTGTAAGGTACCCTTACGCGTATCGTAGAATAGGTACCTCGCTCAAAGCCGGGTACCCGACGTCTGGATATGTCCCTGACGCTTTCCTTGCACAGCCTCAATTCTGCCAATCAGAATTTCACATCTGAAACCCCACCTGCTCACCTGCCCTAGTATTTCTCTTCCCCTTAGGCTCAGATACGAAATTTAACCCCCAGACGACCGCCCCTCCCCCCCAGCAGGTTTAGCAGGTTTAGCATTGTTCAGTGCCAAAACTGCCAGCTGCATACCCAGCAAACCCCCCGGTTCCTTGAATGGTTTTGGGCACTGAGAGCGAACCACAAGTCTTGGTTGTAACTGTGGACTTGAACTCCTACCACTGCCCAGATGGCCCACCTTACAAGTCTATCGCTCTAACAGGACAGGTCTTTCTTGACAATTGTAGCGAGTCTTGCAGATTTGATTAAGCCGGATTCTTCTGACGTTTCCATCCGACTTTGACCCTTTTCATCTCCTTCCCTCTTCATTTTTTTTTTCTGCCCAGACCCCGCGACAACGGCGACACATTCCGTACGTATTTTTTTTTCCTTTTCGCAACGACGAACTCTGTTGCCTATTTTATTATTTTTCGTGCACTGCACTGCATTGAATTACGGTGATCTGCGAGGGAAAAAAAAGAAGATATTTTATATGTCATTCACCACCCTGAGATCGAGTTGGTATTCCCGCATTGTTTTGACACTTCGTAGTCAAGACACGCTGTTGGCTCAGTGCCTCATTACCGTACTCTGATAACCAACCGCCTGACATCCAAACCTGAGAATTGCGCGCTTTGTGTAATTGTAACCACAAGACGGTAGGCTTGCAGCCATTATTACGACTCCTCTCGAGAATTCCCCGATCGTGACGGACGACGTTCCTATTCCCAACTCACCTTCTCAACAAACCGTCGCCGCTCTCCCAATCTTCATCTCTACGGCATCTGCTACAGCTGGCGAAATATCGAGTCCCGAAAAAACAGGGCCGATTATAATACACAGTACGGAAAAAAAAGTATTTTGTTTTTTTGATTACGACTTTTCCACTCATCGCACCAGCGACGCTAAGCCGATACAGCATTTCTGCATCCTATTTCTTGTAACCCTTGTCGCCGACTTCAATTCTCAACGAAGTTATCGCCAGGATTGGTCGCAGCCTCCTAAAGGCGCATAACAATTAGGAGACGAAGCATTCTCGCTTTTTTTTTATCGAGATTGCAAAAAAAATCCATGCTGGAGTAAAGAATCGCCACTAGACTCTGCGTGCGTACCTGAATTAGTAGCAAGCCTTAAGCTTCTTTGTAAAGCTCCGTTACTAGCTGGGATCACTTCATCGTGAGTTTTTTCGTCTCCCTTTTTTTTGGAGTCTTGATAATCCACCAGCGCCCCTCTTCCCCACTCACCTTGTCGTCACCTCAGATTAAATCTGCCTACCTTCCAGCCAAGATCCTCCCCCTCGAGTACCCCAACTTGTCTAATCATTTCCTCTTTGTTCCTAAATAAGAGCGGTGCCTTGCCCTACTAACACCGCAACCTTCTAGCAGGCCTGAGAAGTGCATCATACATTGATTTCGGGCTCCACTATACTCTTCTAGATCCTGGTCCCTCCCCCCCCCCTACAACTCTAGGGCCCTGATCTCAACACACCTCGACTTTCGCGGGCCAAGTACCTGGCAGGTCAGGAATATAAGATGGCGGATCAACACGACGTTGACTTAGACTCTATCATCGATCGTCTCCTCGAAGTGCGCGGCAGCCGTCCTGGCAAGCAAGTTCAACTTCTGGAGACTGAGATTCGATATCTTTGCACGAAGGCCAGAGAGATCTTCATCAGCCAGCCAATCTTACTAGAACTGGAAGCTCCTATCAAGGTACGCAACACACGATTAACCGATAACGTCTCGTGCCATCTTCCAAAGCAACTTAAGTTACTGACATTCTTGTGCTGTAGATCTGTGGTGATATCCACGGCCAGTACTATGATTTGTTGCGCCTTTTTGAGTATGGCGGCTTCCCCCCGGAGGCGAACTACCTTTTCCTAGGTGACTACGTAGATCGTGGCAAGCAGTCGCTCGAGACCATCTGCCTCTTGCTCGCTTACAAGATCAAGTATCCCGAGAACTTCTTCATCCTGAGGGGTAACCACGAATGTGCATCTATCAACCGTATCTATGGCTTCTACGACGAATGCAAGCGCCGTTACAATATTAAGCTATGGAAGACGTTCACCGACTGCTTCAACTGCTTGCCGATTGCAGCAATCATTGATGAGAAGATCTTCACGATGCACGGTGGCCTGAGCCCCGACCTCAACTCGATGGAGCAGATCCGCCGCGTGATGCGACCAACCGACGTAAGATATCCCATTTCCAAAATCATACTATCATTTGCTCCGCCAGTATTGGCCTGAGTTGTTGCTAACACTACCTGCTTTAGATTCCCGATTGCGGTCTGCTGTGTGACCTACTGTGGTCCGACCCGGACAAGGATATCACGGGCTGGAGTGAGAATGACCGTGGCGTTTCATTTACGTTTGGTCCCGATGTGGTCTCCCGATTCTTGCAAAAACACGACATGGATTTGATCTGCCGTGCCCACCAGGTCGTGGAAGACGGTTACGAATTCTTCTCGAAGCGCCAATTGGTCACTTTGTTTAGTGCACCGAATTACTGCGGAGAGTTCGACAATGCCGGTGCCATGATGAGCGTCGACGAGAGCTTGTTATGTTCCTTCCAAGTTTGTCTTCCTCTATTCAATATGCAACCATGAATGCCTGACTAACGATTTCTTCCCTCTAGATTCTCAAACCTGCTGAGAAGAAACAAAAGTACGTCCATGGCAGCCTCGGAGGCAGCGGTTTCGCATCTCCAAGAAAGCAATCATCCAAGTCTTAAAAAGCAAGAGTATTCATACGAACTTCCTCGTCTTCTAGGTTCGGCCGCTCCCGATAAGTTGCTTCTCAAGCATCCAGCCCGTTTTCGAGTCCCGATACTTGTCCTCGACCAACGATCCCGTTGGCGTCATCCTCGCCCTCCGCCGGTTCACATTACACATATACACACACCTTTCCGACCACGACGGGCGTTTTGATAATGCAGCTTCGAGTACAGATATATGACCCTCCTCCGCCACGAAAACACACAATGTCCTCATATCCTCACTTTAACCTCAGAACTGATGAAAGAGATGAACGGTGGTTGTTGCTATTACGCGAGAAAAGAAATAAAATCAGGTTTTCATTTGGAATGGTCTCTATGAGTGTTCTCAGCCCACTCACCCTAACGTCTGTGAGGCCATGGTGACTAAGGGGAGAAAGTCTAGACAGTTAATTTTGTTTCCCCGAGACGTGAAACTTACGAATTCATGCAATGATCTGCTTCACAGTTTTTTTTTTACACCTATGGTCGCCGTTCTCTCCCCCAATGCCAAGTGATTTCTTTTTCTCGTTTTTGTTGCTCTCTTGTCCGGATTTGTGTACTCTTGATTTTTCGTGTTGAGCTAGGTAGTTACGATGATGGTGGGACGTAGTCCAAGTGGGCACGGAGTACATGTGCCATGAGAGAAGTTAATCGGAAATTCTTACCCTTTCCTGCTAATGATCTAGTTCGCCTGGCACATGCGATTGTCTACGATTTTCGTACATGCTACTACTACTAAGCCCACTCGTTCCCGAGACATTGACTTGGGAGAATAAAAAAATGCCATGTTCTCTTTGCCATGGCGTATTCAACGTAATAACCCAGGTAGGTTTGCAAAAACGGGAGGGTTGGACACATCACATCGAGAATTTCTAGGATTTAGGATTCGTTCAAGAGAGAGTAGAGCAGAGCAGAGCATCCATCATTCCCTGTCTGGTATGGGTACCTTAGGTAGGAGGTAGGTATTACTTTTTTCTTTTCTTTGCATTTGGCTACATACCTAATCTTTCATGCTGCATGCATGCACATCGTGCATTACCTCGGCATCTACCTAGGTCAAACTATATAGAATGGTATGTGCCGCTCTCACGGGCCCCCAATAGGAAGTGGTGGTATCGCGTAGTTACCCCAGATATGTGCCACCCAAGCACTCACTCACTCACCCACCTACCTGGCTGGCTGGCTGGGACGTCTTTTAGACGACACCGAACCGTCTCTCTCTCTGCTTTCGTCGTTGGTATAGTACCACCTATTCCTAATCCACAGGATGGGGAGGATGGGGATTCTAGACGCGGCCGTGGTGAAGGGCTACGGAGGACCCGAGGTTCGAATGAAGAGGGTGAAGAGGGCATCTGCATGGATTGTGTCTTTTCCCTCTTTCATCTATTTGCAATCCTCGCACTCCTCCTCTTCCTGCGTCGCGGCGTTGGTCCGCGCGCTCGCCACGGCCGGCTTGCACGCCGGGCCGCCGACGGTTTCCCCCGGGTGGGTATTTAAGCCGAGGGTATTTTCGTCGTCCTCGGCTTGGGACGGGGCGGTTCCTCTTGTTGCTGTTATTGTAGCACCACTTTCACCACCACCACTATTATTAATATTATTATTATTGTTTTTTGGAGTAGTAGTAGTAGCAGTAATAATGGTGGTGGTAGTATTGCTGCTGCTACTGCTGCTTCCCTTCGCTCTGCTAGCCGCGTAGTCCTTGTCCACGTGCCCCAGGTCCCGGCCCGGCTCGATGACGTCGCGCACGCGGCGCTTGAGCTCCTTGGTCTCGGGGAACCCGCCGTCGGTCTTGCGGTCCCAGAGCACGCGGGTTTGGACGGAGAGGGCGGGATCGGAGAGGGAGGAGGAGGGACTGGCGGTGGAAGGCGGCGGCGACTGGAAAAATATCTCGACGACAAAGGTCCCGCCCGTGGACGGCTGCAGGGCTACCTCGCCGAGGGAGGTCGAGAAGGTGGAGAGGAGCTCTTGCGCGAACTAAACGGTGGCGAATTGTTTGCTGTTGTTAACGACATCGGAGCTTTCGCAGAGGGGCTAGGTTAGGTAAATAGGTAGGTAGGTTAGGTAGGAGAGCGGGGTTCGTGGGGTCGAGAGTTGGTGGCGGTAGTGGTGGTGATGGTGGTGGCGGTGGGCTGATGTTTACATGTATGTGTATTTCACCGGACCGGCACGGAACGGAACGGCCACACACGGGATAAGATAAGTAGATGAGTTGGGAAAAGAGGTAGGGCAGAGAAGAAGAGGAAGAAGAGGAGCGAAGCTATATTAGGTACGTGTAGGTAGGTAGGTAGGTAGGCACATAAGATAAAGTAGTTAAGAAATACTCGACTTACGTATGCGGCTCTCAACATCCATTTACATTGCGTACAGAATCGAATGGTGATACGAGGCAATGGAAACGGAGATTGTAGTGACGATGCGGTCGAGTTCGAGGTTGATGTCTCAGCCATTGTCAGCGTGAGCTTTGTTATTTTTATTTTTATTTTTTTATATAAATACGAACAAATCGTGGAACGTCGATCGATCAGTCTTATATCGATGTCTCAAAGGTGAGTGGTGGTGGGTGTTGAGTTATGGTAGAAGGTTTTCCGATTCTCAGCATATACCGTACCTTACCTAAGGTAGGTTATGTTTTCATGTTACTCGTTACAGAGGTGGGGTTCCTATGACGCTGCCCACCGATTTACCTCAGCTGCTCAGGTGCCTGTGTACAATACATTAAAAACAGCGATACATGTAATAGCCGTAGGTCCCGAAACTCGCAACTTATATCCGGTAAACGAGGAGCTTTATTATCGAGTTAACCATTATATCAACGCTCATTGGGCAACACGTAAGTAAAAACTTCGTAAGTCCGCGGTAGTAGGGCGACTTACCCGTTTAGAGTATAATAAGGCTCCATTAATGTTCTCGAGCTAAAATCGCGTTATGTCGCATTTGCGTATTATTATTACTACTATTGTTATTACTTATTATTACCGTCACCGTTATTGTTGTTTAGTGTTGTTTGTTTGTTTTGTTTGTTGGTTAGCTTCTTTTTTTTTCCTTCTTGATTTCTTTCATCCTCCTCACATGATCAATTCCCTTGCAGATCCTTCCTTGATACAATTGACGTAAGACTTTGTTAAAATAAAACGAGACACGCGGATTCTAAACCGAGAAAAGCGTTACGTTTTCTATGGTACCTCTTATAATCCTTGAGGGGGCCAAAATTCCATTTGCCGCAGCGAGCGGTACCATTGTATGGCTAGGGCACAACACTAGAGCCAATCGTGTTGCAGATCTTAGGTACCTAGCACCCGGATTCGTAGATATTTTATATGCTTAAACTAGTGTATGTCGCGTTGATAAGAGTCTAGGTAAGCAGCGCAGCGCCAGACCGCTAGTTTATCTGCACGGCAAGTTGGAGATGAAGAGCTTATCAAGTGGAATTGATGAACCGGTAGATAGGGTTTATAGGACGTGTGGATCTTTTGCAGCAGCCTTGTTGCCTACGATCTGTAGCTAAGGATCGTGGAGAAAGGATCCTGTCATCGATGAAATAAGATTCATTATATACGTCTACAATTAGATTCAGAAATACCTAGGTTAGGGAGGTATGTAAGCATACCTAACCTAATAGACTACTACGCGGACGTATACATAGTGTGTTAAGAGAACCGAAGTTCCTGCTGAATTCAAATCTAGCCGTCCGTAAGCTTGTATAGTTGTGTAGTGCTGGTCATAAACAAGAAAATAATGTCATTCGTCGAATACAGACACAGACTGAACAAAAGAAACAGGAACAATACAGTCATAAACGAATAAATATTACATGTTGGAATTTCTCCCGTACACTTTCTTTCCCTTCCCCCCCAAATGATGAACTAGTCGTCCATCAACCGACCGACACGCGCAGAGTACCTAAGTATCGTAGTATATCGGTTGGCGAATTATCGTAACATGGTCGATAGTCATCGACTCTTGGGTATTGTGTGTAAAAGCCTTTTTCCTCCCCCTTCTTGGATTATCATCCCCTTTCTCCCTCTTTTTACCGGTTGTAAATTGATCCTCCTATTCTTCAAGGCAACTCTCTCTCTTTCTCCCTCCCTGTTCTTACTCTTATACTCCTCTTTTCCCGGGGATGCGTAAGAAAATTAAATTTCCACGTAGGACACGATAGACAAAGAGAGGCTGGCTATCGTCGAAGAAAATATTAGGCGCCCTGACCTGCGAGCCTCATCGCGACGTAAAATCCCACAGAACGCGTTGCATCCCGTGCGTCTTTCCTAAACTGGAGTTGCTCATGGTATCCCGCTCTACATGACCACGCAGCATCCACCACTTTGGGGAGGCGCGTATGGGTCCTCTCCCTTAGGGACGGTTCCCCATACCGACGGGACCATGTAGTCTCTCGTGCTATTGCAATAGGCGATAATGCTTCGCGTCGTGTTAATTAAAATGGACTATTGTTGTGATAAGCATTCGGCGTTGGTTTTCTTACCTCCTGGCTGCCTGCGACACAGGAATTCGTTCTCGTTCCAAGTCCTCTCTTAGCCTGCTGTTGAGTTCGGTCAATCGTCGCAACTTAAGGTCGGCCATTGACTGCTTGTTTTTCTTGATTTGCGACGGGTCGCCGACGTCTCGAGAAGTGTACTGAGGCATATTGATGGCGGTAGGAGACGGAGGGATGGAATCGGTCCTTGGTCGGGGTTCTAAAGATGGTGGCTGTGTGCTTGGACCACTTGCAGCGCCTCCCGACGTCTGAGAATCGTGAATTTCTGGCGACGACATCATCTATGTTAGTAAAGAAAAGGAAAGAAAAACATGTAACGACTCAAGATCATGTCTCATCGCCCTATTGAATGTTCGATTCTTCGCGAGCCAGTGGAATTGATATTGCGTTCGCGCTCTTGCCAGCTCTATACCCCTATCGGAAGGGATGGGATGCAAGGAGGAAACTAGCCAATTTCCAATTCGTCCGCGTCGGATTCGGGCCCTTTAATGGAGACAAGTTTGTGTTATTGGAGAAGGCGAACTAGTAGTACTTACAGATTTAGGCGATCTCGAGACAAAGGACAAGTTTGCAAAGAAGCTTCGGGGCGACGAAGAGGCGCAACGGCTAAACGGTGGTCGGGTCGTCGAACAGGAACATGAAGGAGAGACTATGACTGTGGAAGCTGGGGAAGTAAGGAAAGAGTTTGGCTGGCGAGTTAAAGACGGTACGAAAGTACGGCGTAGCACTGGCCTAGAGTCCCTAGTCCCTAGAGTCCCTAGAGTCCTACCTGATTTATCATTGGTCGGAAGGATTTGAATGTGGGGCTTTACTTGCAGCCTGGGAAATTGGGGCCCGTTTTGAGGGATACTTCTTTCTAAGGGGGAGTTATGGAAATTGGGTAGGTAAATTGAGGCAAATTGAATCCGTACGTAAATTTAGAAGCACGGGCCCTGTTTAGGGATTTGAACTTGGGGATTGAAAAAGTTTTGTACTTTTGCTCCTTACCACCACTACCTGGTATTACCGGTACTTAATAGGAGGTAACTAGATGTATTTTTCTTTTTCCTTTTTTTTTTCTTTTTTTTTCCTAGGTCCCTAACCCAATGTAGGTATTAGGTAAGCTTAGGTACACGGTACGGAATATCTGCATATGGCCTTGCTGGTCTTATGCACCTAAGTTTGAACTTGCTTAGGTATTCAGGTCCATGCATTACTAAAAACAGTAGGACTCACAGCCGAACATTTGAAGCCTTACCAGACGAGGCCTAGCCTGAGTTATGCCCCTAATGATGAATACTTAGGTAATGATGAATGTTGTATTGTATCAAGGTACCTACCTAAGATTACCTAGGTGTAAGTACCTAGGTGTTTTTATTAGCGTCTAATTGCGCCAATTTCGCATTGAATCTCAACGCGACTTCATCCCGTACGATACAATGATACAGTGTGATACAATGTTGCCTGTTTCAACCGTGCCGCGTTTATTACCGATACTTTTATACTTCTCTACGTCAATCATTGTTTTCCAGAAGATTTCCTATGTGGTTAGTGGCCTAATCAGGTAACCACTCTATCTCGATTATTTTCCGGGTATCGTTCTTCGTTTTTTAGTTTTCATCTAATCACCCAAGCACCCAAGCAAGCACCCAAGCACCCAGGCTTGGCAGGAGTTTTCCCTTTAAGAATAGGAGTCGAAGACTCGAAGCAGGTAGTTTACAAGTTACAACTAACTATCCAAATGCTAGTTAATCAAAACTTATCATAAGCTTTCTCAATCTTCAGCCAAGTCCACCTCACTTACAGCCATCCTCGGCTGTGCTGCAAAAGCGCATATTAAGCGCTCATAGCTCCTAGCTAACTTCTCGGCCTCAGCCTCACCAAAGAGGTCCTTACGCAAGAAAAAATAATGAGCACATTCACCGTCTGGCTCGTCGATGGTGTCGAGGTAAACGTCGTAGGGTACGTTCAGATCGAACCCCATCATTTGGAGTTCGTTGTTATCGCCCCAGGGTGTTGTATCGCGCTGGCCCATGCGGTAATCAGCAAATACCTGGAAAAAGGGGTAATATTTCGCCTCGCGCTGGAGACCAAGCCTGAATTTAAAGAATTAGCAAGAGTAGGCGGATGGCCCATTCCGGAGGCGGGATGACTTACTCCTTCACAACCATCGGATAAGGGACCTTTGAGTGTTCCATAGCCGCTAAAGTCTTCTCACGCGTAATTTCTAACAGTTCCTCAAATCTAGCGGTGGCGTGACTTGAAATACGCACAAGTACAAGGTTATACAATGGACCAATGACATCCATGTCTTCGACATCGTAGGTCCTTCCAGACTCAGCAACACCCATAATGACGTCCTCACCATCGATTGTATACCGAAGCAGCAGAGCTCTCAATGCAGCCAGGTAGAATTGAAATGGCGTGACCTGGATACGACGACATATTTTAAAAATCTGTTGCTTGATGTCTACGCTGATTCTACAGCCGGCTCGGATGTTCTCATAAGCTTTCAGAACGGGGCGCTCATCTACTTTTGTCAACGTTAAGAGGGGCAATGGAGGCGGAGTTGTCGCGAACTCTTTTCGCCAGTATTGCAGCTCAGGTTCGAACTTCCCAGCTGCGTAAGCCGCGTACCGCTGCTCTGAGGCCTCTGCAAACTGCTTTACCTGCTGATTCGTATTGGGATAGGTGTAGTGAAATGCAAGCCACTTCAGAAAAGTTTGGAGCGAAGTTGCATCGATGACAAGAGGGTGGAAACCTGCCACAAGATAATTATCTATTCCAGAGCGAGTGAGTAGGATTAGTCGCGAAGTTTCGCCCCGTGCCACATCATACACGTATCCTTTTTGGATCGCCATGGCTATCCTCTCCACCTCCTCTTCACTCTCGATCTCCTGGTGTTCTAGATGTAGGAGAGGAGCATCTAAGACGTGCTGCATTTGCTTTTCATCTTGATCAAAAAACGCCGTCCTTAAAATCTCGTGCTGCTGGCCCAGTGCCCGCACGGCTCCCGCCAGTCTTTCTGGATTTATCTTTCCTGTGATACGTGCCCAGGCAGTGTGGTTAAGGCCAACCCTATCTTCCAGGAAGATCCCCGAAGGATAAAACCTCGCCTGTGTAAAAGACACGGGAACCGATTTTAAGATAATCGAACCTGAGCTTGTAGTTGGAGGAGAATCTTGGATCGACTCAAGATTTAAGACCTTTTTCGCCTGTGGAAAAGCAACGAATTTACCGGTATCTCCGTTCAAATTCCGGGTGATCTCCTTTTTGTTGGAGGGTGCAGAGACATCTTTTGCAGAATATCCATCTAACCTCGAAACCAGTCGTGAAGGGATAGTTTCTGTTGCGGTAGTGACCAATTCACCGATAGTGCCGCCGTTCATAATTTTGAGGACAGGGATATTAACGTCGAGAGTCTTCATAAACCAGCCACGAATTTCTATCGCCGTGAGAGAGTCGATTCCCATATGGTCGAAGCGCATAAGGTTAAGCTCAGCATTGCTCAACTGGTTGGTGTCAAGCTGGAAATAGGAACCAAGCTTATGGGTAAAAGCGTCCCATATGATGGTATAAACCTGTTCGCGGCTGCACGCCTTTTCAAGCAACGCCTTGATTGGTAGATTGGCTCGATTACCGGCGGTGATGGGATCCTCTGATTCTCCGTGGCCTTCGACGAAGTGGCTCATCCGTGACCATGATTCCCATACAGGCTGATGTTCTTCCTGCTGGCTGATTCTTCGTACACCCGAAACAAGTTCTACTTGGGCAGTGGAGCCGGGGCGTCCTGCGACTATAGCTTCTGCGAAGAGTTGATGCAAGTCTCGTTCAGAAGTGCGGACGAACCCTCCTGTTTGTAAAGTCACGTTGCCCATAAGTGAGCCTTCTGCCGCCCTGGCAATATAGCCTACCCCGAAGATAGGGCCAATGTGTATGATAGACGCAGCCAGGCCAAGCCTTCTACGTCGTTCCGCAAGACTAGCCATGAAAGTATTGGCTGCCGCATAGTTTGCCTGGCCATGATTTCCGATCACAGATCCTGTTGATGAAAAAAATACGAAAAAGTCCAACGTATTTTCATGGAAGATCTCATTCAAATGGATACTTCCTTTAACTTTAGGCATTGCGACTGCAGATAATTGCTCCAATGTCATGTCCTGGATGGCAACGTCCTGGAGGACCATGGCACCTTGCGCAACGCCAGCAACTTCCGGCATGACTGAACAAATTTCGGCATAGAGCGCTACAACTTCACGTCGCTCGGTTACGTCACTGTCAAGAAGTTAACGACGACCAGCTCAGAGAAGTATGACGTGGAATCCTAAAGTATCACTTACCATGCGGAGATCTTGATGGTTACTCCCTTCGCGCGCATCTTGTCCAGCCAAGTCATCTCAACATTGGGCTTGCGACTGCTGATGACAAAGTATCGCGCTCCACGCTGTACCATCCATTCACACAACGATAGACCGAGTCCGCCAGTGAGTCCAACAAGCCAATAAGTTTTGTTTCCTGGAAGGGATACCAGAGAATCGACAGGCTGGACTTCGACAGAAACTTCAGATATCGTATTCCATTCAACAATAATAGGCAGTGCTAGTCTGTTCTGATCCTGGGGGAAGGTATTAATGGGAATGGAGGGAGCATATGTCAATGCGAACTTCGTGGGGTTTTCTAATGCAATAGAAGCCCACGCAACGGCTTTCGTAAACCTGCTGCGAATATCTTCCGTGTGTGACGCCGTAGCATCCCAAGCCGTCTTACCAAACAGAGACTCGAGATATTCCCGCCTGCAATAGGCTGTGAACGTAGACGCGATGCGCTCAACGACCGGTTCAACGTTCTTAAGATGCGTCATATCAACGAAGACAGAAAAGTCAGGGGATATAAGCCGTGCTATATCCCGCTTCGGAGTAGCCGGGTGAATCCTTAGCCAGCTAGAATCTTGTACCAAAGCATTAGTATTTGTCACTACAAATGTAACCTGTACGCCAAGGTGTGCCGCTTGCTCAGCTATTATAGAGGCGAATTCATATCTAGGGTTATTGACTAGTACTTTATCACCCTTCGACAATCCTCTCAAGACAACAGACGCAAGCAAGTAATGGGCTGTCAGCCACAAAAGCTGGGTTTCGGAACCCGATGATGCAGTAACGGGGATGGAGAACTCTTCTTTAGGATAGACAAGAGAGGTATTCTCAGTCGACAGAGCAATCATTTTATTGCCAGAGGCGGTGTTTTCCCCAAATACCATGAACATACAGCCGAATTCAGCGACCCGAATGGGCGAGAGGAGGGAGTGGGTAGTCCGCAACTGTATGCTCCCGTGGTCTTGATGATGCGCCGGCGGTTTCAACTTGACGTCCCATTTTGAATCGGATGCATATATGCAAATTCTATGATGATCGAGCTTGACTTGACGGCGGATATCTCGGTGATTTGAGTTATAGCGGTCATTCATCTCCTCGTTCATCACGAGACGAGGTATCAAGAATCGACCTGTTTTATCTAGTACAAGTTCATTCTCGACGGTGAGCTTCATGTTATCGTGCTGCCGCCACTGAGATGTAGCTATGTGTCGCAGAACCGTCTCTGCAATAACACGATGGTCCATCTTGCGAGCATCTTCGGTATCTAGGAGCAGATAGTCGAGGGTTGGGTTATCACGCGCCGCGCCGCGGATGAGACCCAACATCATATTTGCATATGGCTTATCGGCAAGCCGACCCCGAGTGACCCAGATGAGGGCTCTCGGCAGTAGAATCGCTTTCTTCAGAGCTTCCCATTTTGCACTATCAAGCCGTTTGAAGACTGAAGTATCTAAGTCTCTCAAACTTAGGACGACTGTGTCGGACGAAATGTCAGCGTCAGCAAGATCCATCAACGAGTGAACGTTTCTAATACTGCTACAGTATGGTCGGAGGATATCTGAGAGTTGGCAGGCAATTGGAGCCCTTTTCTGGCTCTCTTCGCTCAGTACTATCATATCCCGGATCATCTTTGTTTTTGGAGTCGACGAGGGGAAAGGGAGCGAAAGGGGCTCCCGAAGAAACGCAATCTTCTCATCCACAGCTTGTGAGATGAATACATAGAAGGGTGCCACGCGATTATCTCCCTCAGTTCTCGAGTCGATTCCCGAAAAGCCGTTATTACGCAGTAATTCGTCCCACTTCATAGGGGTGACTATGGGTGATATGGTCTTTCTCTCCTTAAAATCGGCCCACCGATTTGGAAATCCCCTAAAGATAATCCCCAAATAGGATCTGAGGCGCGGTAGAACTTCAAGTACAAGGAGGTGGCCGCCAGGTTTCAGTAGACGCCGTAAGTTACGCAGCGTTCGATCGAGGTCTGGTGTCGTATGTAGGGCTAGAGATGCTATGACTACATCATATGACGCTTTGGGGAGATCTTGCTCTTGTACGTCCTTCGAGGCGTCGAACGGCTTAAATTTTATCTTATCCTTAAGCCATTGGAGCTCATTCTTTACTGAATTAAAGGAGTCAGAAGTAGTCGTCGTCACGGTATAAGAGGCAAATTTCGAGCCGATTTCTTGTAAGATCGTCTCTGTTGCCGTGCCTATTTCTCCACCAACCTCGAGGATATGCATTCGGGGATATCGATGTATCATCTGCTTCAATATCTGAGTCAGATGTGCTGTAGAAGTCTTTATCCCGAACCCCTTGGTGTACCACTCCTTCACGAGGTTGGCTCGCATGGCAAAGTCTACAGCTGATTCATCACCCTTGACAATGTCAACCAGATTCTTCCCAAAGTCTGATATGATTTTCACATCGATCGTGTCCGCAAACGGCTCACATGCTGCAGCAATAGTTTCCGGAGTGTCCCGTTCCCATTCTGATTGCCAAAATTGCGATTCCCCAGCGTGCCATAGGAACTCGATAAGCGATATAAACTTAAACAGGCTATTGTACGGCTCTTCGATCCTGGATTGGTGGTGGATTGGTATCTCTCGATCTAAAACGCGCAAGTAGTAACTTGCAGCTCTTTCAAGGGCCGCTACTAGCATGGACTGGCCCGGCGTCGAAGAGCCATCGCAGCCTACGATATATGCGTCTGGGTCTAAGACACCCCATACAATATTTGAAAAGACCTCCTTATCACTACTCGCAGTGTGCTGGGAGAATGGTCTACATTCCAATCCTTGGACCTGGACCATTGCATGATCAAGACCGTCCGGGTAGATGTCGATATCGGCTACCATGTTGGCATGGGGAAATGCTTCGGGACTGACGGTGTCAATGGCCCATGAAATCTGCTTATCTCTCGTATGCGCACACAGATCTGGGTTGAAGGCGATGCGTGCAATACTCGTGGGGAGATGCATTGACTTTTGCGCCCCGTCATCGGGCGACGCGTACGCCAGGAAAATAGATTGCTACCACACACAAATTAGCACGAAATCGTGAGTTTATCGAATAGGAGGTACCTAAACATTCAACGTACAAAGGCGGCATCCAACGCTGCAGGATGGATCAGGGAACTTGACGACTCGAAGATAGCGACGGATCCTGATGCGGCACCGAGCGCTCTTTTCATTCCTTTTAATGCTAGGAATTGGCCGCTATACTGGTACTCGAGCTCCGATAGCGACTCGTAGAATCTTGCCTCTGAGACCGGCAAGAGATTCGGTCGCTGTGGAAGCCGAGAAGGGAGAATGGTGTGGTGAGGTCGGCCCAAGCGGATTCGTATACGTCCTCTGGCCTTTAATTCGAGAGGCTCGGTGCCCTTTCCAGATGTCGCATGATACTTAAAATTCGCTTCGATTGTTTCTTCATCGGGCTTGGAGATATCCGTTACGGAGAGGATCATCTCTATACTCACGTCGTCCGGATCAAATATCAGGGCCGAAATGATATTCATATCGTGAATCTCAACCAGTCTGGCGGAATTATGCTCACAGAGTTTCAGGGCAGCTTCCAGTACGCCTACGACGTAGCCTGTCGCTGGAAAGATAACCACATTCTGCAGTCGATGGCCCAGAAGCCACTGGATCTCGGAAAGGCGCAATGTATGGCGCCATCGCATATCCTGCGCGGTGCTATCCGGGGTCAAGTGACCGAGTAATTCGTGAACTGGGTCTGGACGCATACGTACCGCTCTGGCATATCTTGATTCGTGCCAGTACTCGTTGCTGTGGTCCCAAGCGTACTTCGGGAGCCCCTTAACCAGTCTGGGGTTCGAGTTACCGGACAGAAATTGATCATAATTTTCTAGGGCGATGGCCCCCTTTCCCATATGTAGCCAGGCGTAGCCGAGACCGTCAGCGAACGACGTAATGGCCGAAATACCGCGGTGGAACAAACCGGTATAAGGAACCTTCAATGATGTCTTCCCCTGTATGGTCTGCAGGGCAGGGCTCTTGAGCGCTGGATGGGGGCCCAATTCAATAGTAAGATCAACAGATCCCATAAAGGCGCAAGCGCTATCGATAGCTTGCATAAATAAGACCGGTCTGACCATATTTCTATCCCAATAAGGGCCCTTCAACAAGTCGTTTGTGTCTATCTCCGTCCCGTAAACGCTTGAGAACCAAACAGATCGACCACCTGGGCCGACTTCTACATCAAGTGCCGTGATAGCGTCCAGATATTTAGCAGAACATGCCTCCATATGGTGGGAATGATATGCCGTGTCCACCCGCAAAATTCTAGTGGGCTTCTTCTCGTCTCTAAAGATGATTTCCAACTCTTTAATAGCATCCTGATCCCCCGAAAGCGTGACGCTTGTCGCCGAATTAACGGCGGCCACGCAGGCGCGACCTTCGAACTCCGGAAAGCTAAGCAGGTCGTGGGCATCGTCGGCGGACGTCCTCACGGCCATCATAGCACCCTTTTGCCCACCGCTACCCCGCGCGAGCCCCGAGTACAGGCCGCGGTAATACGCGATGCAGATAGCGTCCCCGGCCGATATCAAGCCCGCCGCGTAGGCGGCTGCGATCTCGCCGGACGAGTGGCCGACAACGGCGGTAAATTTGATACCCGCAGCGCGCAAGAGCTCCACTTGCAGGATTTGCACCGCCGTGCAGAGAGGCTGGGAAAGAGCGGCGTCGGCTATGCGCGAAGAGGCGGCGTCTTTTTGCAGCTCTTTGACCAACGACCATTTGGGGCGATCGGCGGCGGGGAGTTGATCAAGTCGTCTTTGGAGGGTTTGTATGATCCGCTGCGAGGCGGCAGACGCGGTGATTAACTCCGAGCCCATCCGAGCCCACTGGGCGCCTTGTCCCGTGAACACCCCAAGCACCCGAGGCGTGTCGGCATCTCCGATCTGGCGCGGCATGCGAACGCCGACGCGCTGCTCGGAACTGCTTCCTGCGGCCTTGAGCTTCTCCTCGAGCTTTTCGCACAGCTCGCGACAGGTAGGTGCCCCGATGCTAGTGGCTACGAGAAGACGAGTCCGCCGAGTAGCTAGCGTGAAGGCAATGTCCCTCATATCACAGGCAGTCTCATGTTCACGCAAGTAGCGACAAAACTCTCCCAAATAGGATTTCAGCGATGCTTCCGAAGCCGCGGAGAAGACAAACGGCATGAATATAGGCGACGTATGCTGCTGCGAGAGCCGGGCCGGCGGCTCATAGCTCTCGAGAATGGCATGAGCGTTTGTTCCGCCGAAACCGAAGCTGGCACGGCAAAAGTGTCAGGGGACGGAAGAAAGCACCTCATAACGAACGAGAGACTAGATAATAGGAGGTAGGCATGCAGGATAATATCTCACCTGTTTACGCTCACTCGGCGTGGACTCCCTTCTGCCACGGCGGGCCACGGCATCAGCGTCGTTGGGATGCGCAAGTCACCATAGAAAGGCTCGATGTCCGGATTCAGACGGTTGAACAGAAGATTCGGCGGGATCATGGCGTTCTGGATGGCGAGCGACGCTTTCAACACGCCCGCAATACCCGCCGTGCCTTCGGTGTGGCCGACGACGGTCTTGATGCTACCCACGAAAAGGGGGTTTAGCGGGCCGTTTTCTCCGTCGCTCGGGAAGAATGTGGAACTGATGGCTTCGGCCTCAATTGGATCTCCAGCCGGCGTGCCTGTCCCGTGGGCCTCGAAATACTGCGGCCGGTGCATGGGGTTTGCTAAATCCAGCCCGGCACGCTGGTAGCAGTCCCGGATAAGCTGTGCTTGCGCGGATGCGCTTGGCCTACAAAACAACAAAAAGAAAGAAGGATGATTAACTTCCGACACAAAGCAAACAGCAGCAGTAGTAGTAGTAATAGTAGCACTTGGATTCTTCCATCAGGCACGTACATGGTCTGTCCGGGCGTTTTCCCGTCCTGGCCCACCGCCGTCTCGCGGATAATGCACTCGATGTGGTCTCCATCGGCCTCGGCGGCCCTGCGCGTCTTCAGCACGACCGCCGCGACGCCTTCGCCGCGCGCGTAGCCGTTCGCGCCGGCGTCCCACATGCGCGAGCGGCCCTCGGGCGAGAGCATTTGGAGGTTCGTCTCGGCGATGAAGGTGCCGGCGTCGAAGATGAGGTTGGAGCCGGCGACGACGGCGACGCGCGACAGGCCCAGGCGCAGCTGCTGGACGGCGAGGTGCAGCGCGACGAGGCTGGAGCTGCAGGCGGTGTCGAGGGTGACGGAGGGCCCGCGCCAGTCGAAGAAGTACGACACGCGGTTCGACAGCATCGTCCGCGACGTCCCCGTCGCGTGGTACTTGCCCAGGTTCTCGTGGTCCCGGTACATGACCAGCTCGTAGTCGTTGACCATCTGCCCCGCGTACACCGCCGTGTCCGACCCCCGCAGGCCCGACACCGTCTGCCCCCCGGCCTCGAGAGCCTCGTACACGGTCTCCAGGAGGAGCCGGATCTGCGGGTCCAGCACGTTGGCTTCCGCCGGGTTGATCCCGAAGAAAGCGGCGTCGAAACGCCGGTGATGATCTTGGTCTTGTTGTTGTTCTCCATCTTCCGTCAGTAGGTACGCCTCCTTGACGTTGGCGTGTCCGTGATATTGTCCGTTTTCATGGTAGAATCCCTTCAGAGCCGGTACCTGGCTTGCCACAAGCCTTGGTTCACGCAAGAGGTCCCAGAGCTTAGACGGGGAGGTGGCGTTTCCGGGGAACCGGCATCCGGAGCCAATGATGGCGATCTCTTGTTCTCCTTCTACAGTCATGATGGAAGTAACTATGCCTGATAAGGTGTGTGAGGAGTGTGATAAGAGAGACTAGAGTTAAACTTATTGTGGTCATCTTGAGGATAATCATCTAAGCAAGACAGGTATACCGGTATATATTTCCGATAAACTAAAACTCAGTCTTCCTCGTGTGTCTTCAGCGTAGGACTCACGACAGGTAAGTAAACCAATCAGATTTCCTCCTAGCCTTAGGTACCTTTGACGACCCGCTGCATGAATATTAATATATTTGCCTTTTACCAAAAGCTCCTCGACATCGATATTCTTAGGTTGAGTTGGGATGAGTCAAGCTCGGCGTCAGGAAGTAGCCGCAGCATGTCGTGAATAGCGGATTTCCGTATCTAACCCAATTACCTAGCATAAGCATCATTCCGAGGTAGAGTGCGTAACACGCCTCCCTTCTCAGCCCAGTGCAACTCTCCGTGACTGAATTTCGTAAAGGAGATGGTATGTAAGGTAGCTATACTGTGCTTAATAGAGTTGCAGAAGGATCTCTAATATAAATTTCTTTTTATTTGAAAACAGGGGTATAAGGTATGTGTGCAGTTGAGACATGTTAACACTCTTGCATATGCCGGCGTGGCCATTCCGTCGGACATTATGGCGAGAACCACCATCAGCTTGCCGCCGAGAGGTTAGATAGATTTCGTACATCCATGTTAGGACTACATCCTTCCTAGGCAGGAAGTGAATAGCGAGTTTGGCCTTCGGCTCCTAATCCTACCCTACCTTAGGTACTAACCCTCATACCTCTCTATCACCAAAACATCAACACTGAACCAAACCGATGCTAAGTTGCCAACTTGAGCACATAGTGGGAAGAAAAAGAAAAAGAAGAAAAATTTTACCTTGGCAACTTTCTTCCTAAAACTTCACCATCCTGCTGAGTTGCGGTAGCTGCCAACGCTGGCAGCAGAACAGCAGAACAACAGAACAACAGAACAACAAAAATGGCTTTTGAACTGTGGAAGAACTCGACCGAATTCGCACAGCTTATCATTCTGACATTATTCACGCCGATTGGCATCGCTCTGACATGTTTGCGTTTCTTCGCGACCTATCGCGGCATGCGTAAGCCAGGTCTCGAGGATTGGATGGCCGCGTTAGCCACCTTGTTCTTCATACTCACCAACCTTGGGGGCCTGATGGGTAAGTTAAAACGGCTGCTATTATCATCTGGGTCAGGTAGCCGTTCTAACGTACTTGCGTGCCTTGCGTATAGCGATTAGTATCCTCAATGGACGCCAAATTGCTGAAGAAGTTGCTGAAAGCCCACTAGACTACGAACATATGCGTAAGGTATGTTTTATTTTCTCGCCGCTCTCTGCACATGAGACTTGGCAGCTGAGATGAAGGCTTTCAATCCCTCCCTTTACTCTTTTGATAGAATCAATAATCACACTAAATGTAGTGGGACATTGCGGCTCTCTACTTCTACTTTGCGCACACGCTGTCTGTGAAGCTCAGCGTCCTAGCTCTCTACCATCGCATCTTCGGCGTCAGTCGTCCGTACAGGATCTGGATATACTTGTTGGGAGCAGCACAGGCGGTCCTGTTTGTCATTTTCTGCATCTTCCAGGCCCTGCAGTGCAGGCCGTTTAACAGGTATTTCGACCTCTCGATACCGGGGACTTGCACGGATGAAGGGACGGTGATCCTCGGTGGAGAGACGCCAAACTCGCTTATCGATTTTGCTATGGTTATTCTTGCCATGTTTATGATACGGCCACTTCAAGTCACCACTTCGATGAAATTGAGGCTCAGGTTTCTTTTTGGCCTCGGTGCGCTGTCAGTCCCCCTTTTTCCCCCTTTTTTTCTTTTTTTTTTTCTTCACTTGATCTCCTCTAGCGGTGTTTGGAGTTAGTTGCTAACTACAGCGTACCTACGGCCCAGTGTTGGAATAATAGGATTCATCAAAATCGGTATCACATACTCTCCGACTACCCTTTGTAAGTGATTGTGAACCAGATATGAACTTTACCTACCTACATATTAGGCGAATGTCTCCTTACGAGCTTACATACTAATTCGTCTCGATGACCAGACGCTTTTAGCATGGTATCCATCTGGACGTGTATCCAGATGTTCGTCTCTTTGCTCTGCTGCTGCTTGCCCGTGATACATCCCATCTTACCGTCATGGAGCCGAGTCTCGTCGTATATGATTAGTCATGTGTCATTCAGATGGGCATCCTGGGCATCGAGAACGCAAACTGGAACGACACGGTCGACACAAGGGTCGAGCAATGGTAAAGGGTTCCATAGGGCGAGGGAACCGCACCAGGCGGAGTGGAGGCATCTGGATGAAGAGAATATTGCCTGCCTTGCTTGGCCCGATGCAACACACCAGACGGAGAGCCACGCGTTGACCGAGTACAACCTGTACGAGTCACGCTCACGCCCAGAGCCGCATAATATACGGGTAGAAAGGCGATTCGATGTCAGTTAGTTGGAGAAGTTGGGGATCGTACATACCTGCCTGCCTGTACCTAGGTCCTAAGGTATGCAAACGCCTAAAGATGAGTGTAAGATAGGAGGTAGCTATGTTTAGTATGGAAAATCATACCTTAAAGACCTACCTTAGGTTAGGTACCTAAATAGTTGCATCGTGCGTTACGCGCCGAATACATACCTACCTCCTAAGGTACCCCCTCCTTTGTTCAAGGCGGATGAAGAAAGAAAAGAAAAAGTAGGATTCGAAAAACATGATGTTATGTTTTTGTTAGCGCCCACACGAAAGCAATACGGGTACCCTAGGTGACCAGTCGGATTAAGTTATAGTAGGTACCTCCTAAGGTAAGCACTAAAAGAAACATTCGATGCTGTGTTTTATGCCGTAAAAGGTTACAGGTCATGGTTACATAAATCAAACTGGGTAGCACCTATTTGATCCTCCAAAGTTTGTGTAACTGTTGGTACCCACCTATCCGGTCTGCATCTAATTCCTACAGGTACCTAACCTGGGCATACGTACACTGCATGTATCTAATACACGTATAAGTTGTATTATGCAAGGTAGGTACCTTAGGTACCTAAATATAAGTAATAATCGTCACCAACAAAGACCTGTGGACGTGCCGAGGCATCCCCCTGTTTTCTTCCAACATCAAAGGTTACACACTCTTTCGCTCTTCAATGTCACATGTGTCAACCTGTGCATGGACTTGTCTATCCCCTTGCAACCGGTCCGGCATTCGATAATGCGAAGAGCGTCTCTTCCTCGTTATCTTTCACGATCTTCCCCATCTGATCGCAACCAATCTAACTCCTTACAACAGATTCTCTATCCCATCTTCATACCAGCACGGGCTACTGCCGGTCATGTCGTACCCTGAGATCCTTTTTTTCGATTCAACGGCTGTACAGCGGCTATTTACCTTGCTATTTGGAGCCGTGAGCATATCCACAGCGTCTCTTGGAGATTCCACATTTCTTAATTCCAAATATAACAGGTTGTGGTTAATCTAATCATCCGATCGATTTACCGCCTATACTTTCATCCCCTGTCAAAATATCCCGGTCCCAAGATTGCCGCCGTTTCTGATATTTGGTATGCATACCATTCGTAAGTAACATCGTCTCCTACCTCCTAGCAGAGAGGAATCTCGGGCCTTTCAGATTATAGCTTTAGCTCACCAAGCACCTAGATTGGCGGGACGGTGGCCCTGGGCTATCGAGGACGTGCTAAGGAAATATGGTATGTGCAAAGTCTGCCACTAGCCTCATACTTCAACCGAATAGGTATTAACTAGCACGCATAGGTGATGTTGTCCGGATCGCGCCCAATGAGCTAGCTTTTGTCACCCCGCAGGCTTTGGCCGGTGAGTCCTGTGACATGACATTAAACACGTGCTCCATTACCTAGTGCTGCATCGGCTTATACAAGGCAATGTAGATCTCTACGGCTCTCATAACAAAAATATAGAGCTTTTCCCGAAAACGCAGATTAACAATCATGGAAATGACGAGCATGGCGGTCTTATATGGGAATGGGATCCCATTCTGCATCGTCAGGTGGCTAAACAATTAGGTCCAGCTTTCAAAGGAGCAGCCCTCAAAGCCAAAGAGCCAACCTTACATAGATATATTGACCTTTTCGTCGAACGCATGAAAACCCTAGGTGGGAATGCCGATGGCGTTAGCTTGCCTAAATGGATCAACTGGTTGTGTGTTGATATTTCAGCTGATATGGCATATAATCGGGAGATGAACGCTCTGAAGGACAGTAAGTTTTCTACCCTGGTTTCCTTTCAATGTTCGCCTTTTCTCCGCCTGGAAAAAAGGGTGTTAACTTCTTAAATAGTGAAAACTCCGGAGTATCTCAGCCTCCTTTCGGGATTCAACAGGGCTCTGGTCGTCATCCAGGTATCATGGAGATTTCCTCTTCTCAGCCCGTTGAAATACCCCTTTTTATTCACTACCATGAGGCCCCATTCCCATATCAGGGATCATAGCCGTCAACAATTGGAACGGCGTATCCGACGTAAAGGTTCTGTCATGCACCTCGACTTCTTCGAGCAGATGATTCCGGAAGACCGTGAGCCTCCAAAAGACCGAAGGCAACTACGGCATTTGGAACAAATTGCAGGTCAGCTGCTTGTAGCAGGATACGAACCTCCGGCACTGTGGTTTTATTTTACGATTTATTATCTCCTTAAGAACCCCAAGATCTTGAAAACCTTAACGGAGGAAATTAGGGGGGCTTTTGCAACTTACGAGGAGATCACGCCGGATACAGCTGCGTCACTAGCTTACTTGACAGCCTGTCTGAAGGAGTCCCTTCGAGTGATGCCAGGTGTACTTACGGGGATGCCGGTTGTTAGTCCGGGTGCTCTAGTAGACGGAACCTTCATTCCGAAGGGGGTAAGTTACCACATTCACTCATTTTCCTGTTCTCAATCTATGCCTACCTAACCTAATAGTACCTAACGCTGTTTAGGTTGTTTGCCAATCCAGCGCCTTTGCGCTGGCACGTAGTCCTCGTAACTTCCACAAACCGTTGGACTTCCTGCCGGAGCGCTGGCTGCCGGAGGGGCACCCGCTGTATGACCCGCAGTTCGCTAACGACAACCGTAAAGGTTTCCAGCCGTTCAGTCAGGGACCTCGGATGTGTGCGGGGAGGGAGATCGCCTGGTGGCAAAGCAGGTTATTCGTCGCAAAGGTTCTATGGACATTCAATATGGAAATGGCCTCCGGGCAGGATATCGACATGGACAGAGACTTGAGGGGATGGGGTATGTACGAAAAGCCTGAGGTTCGTGTCAGGTTTGTGCCGGTCAGGGCTTAATGCGGAGTTGTAGCAGTTGTAGCAATGTATATGATAATCAGCTCGGGTGACCTTGAAGCTACCGCTCCTCTTAAAAGTGAATACTAAAAAGAATAAGGACTACGTACATGCTTGCAAAGTTTATCTACTGGATAGGTACCTAGGACCAAAGTAGAATGAACGCCACGGCATTCTCGGATGCTTCAGCTCCCGTTGAATTTTACTTGAAGGTGCGTTACGCCGAGGCGAGGAGTATCCCTTTCGCTCAGAATGCGAACCGCGAGGGTGGTCAAGAAGTGCGACCATTTGGAGCGATACCTGCTTGATGGGCTCATGTCCAGCTAATTTATGCACTCCGTCATGATCTGCTTTGCTATCCAATGAATTCCAATTGAGTCCCAAGTCCTACAAGCACAGCCCAGCCCTTGTGCATCCATACCTCGCGGAATGGCTATATGAATCCTACATATGCAGCGGGCGGGCTAACATGCAGGCTGGATCGGCTTCAAGTAGCTGCGCCGCAAGAGGTGTTCCATTAGGGCGGGTTGCTAGGAACATTGCATGTATTAACCATTCCTACGACGGGACGGTAGCATGCCTAGGCCAGCCACCCCCTCAAGTATTAATCTAATAATGTGCTTACCTACTTAGGTAACCATCATCTATATCAACTTTATCTGTGTAACTCTGAATCAAGTTATCGTCGTGCGACATAAATGAGGCGCGTAAGTTGCACTAGGACTTAGTTTGACTTACCATCTCGGAGGTGCTTTGATTTGACATAGGAGAGGTACCTTGGGTACCTATGTTAGATATTTATGTAAAATAAAACAGACACGACAGCGAAGGCAAATTGAAAAGACCTTGCACACTCACTACCTCTAATGCCAATTGTAGTTGCAATGGCCATGACACAGCTCCCGCCCTCTCAACAAGCCCTCCAACAAGATGACAACGGTCAGCCTTATCTCGTTGACAAGGCGGCCATCCCGTCGCTCCCGCCCGGCTACGTGCTAGTCAAGACGTACGCCGTCGCCCTCAATCCTTCTGACCACAAGATCCTCCGCAATTTCCCCATCCCGGGGGCTTACCTAGGATCCGACTTTTCCGGCACGGTGGTCCAGGCCGCCGCGGATGTGGATACCGACGCCTTGAAGCTCGGCACCATGGTTAGCGGCGCCGCGTTTAACTTCTCGCCCACGCACCGGAAGGCCAACGGTGCGTTTGCCGAGTACGTACGCGCGCGCGCCGACCTCCTGTTGCGCATTGCGCCTCCCGCTTCCCCTTCTCCTTCTCCTTCCATAAACAACCCCGCCACAATGGACCCTTTTCAAGCCGCCACCCTAGCCACCGCGATCTGCACGTGCATCCTAGCCTTCTGGTCGCCCGACGCGCTCAACCTCCCGGGCACTCCGGACGCCCCCGAGGTTCGCGAGAAGCCGACCCCCGTGCTCGTGTACGGGGGCAGCACGGCGACGGGCACGATCGCGATCCAGCTGCTCCGGCAATCGGGGTACGACCCGATCGCGACGTGCTCGCGGCGCAACTTCGGGCTGGTGCGGGACAGAGGGGCGTCCGCGGCCCTCGACCGCGTGGCGTACGAGGACGGGGACGGGGACCTGGCGGCGGAGATCGCGGCGCGAGCAGGGGGCCGCCTGCGGTACGCGCTGGACTGCGTGAGCGACGCGCGCAGCGCGGCTGTGTGCTACGCCGCGATACAGCGGCCGGGGGGGCGGTACGCGTCGCTCGAGCGGGTGCCGGAGGAGATCCTGGGGGCGCGGCAGGCGGTGCGCGCGGCGTTCGTGCTAGCGGCCGAGGCGTACGGGGAGGATGTTGAGCTAGAAGGGGGGCAGAGACAAGCACGAGGGCAAGGACAAGGACGGAAACAAACCGGGTACGATCGGCCTGCGAGCAGGGACAAGCACGAGCTGGCGGTGCGCCATCTGGGGGCCGTTCAGCGCTTGCTGGAGCGTGGGGAGATAAAGGCACACCCGGTGCGGGTGTTGGACGGAGGGCTGCAGGGGGTTTTGGAAGGGCTGAAGGTGTTGGCCAATGGCGGGGTTTCGGGTGAGAAGTTGGTTGCTACTATTGGATGAATGAGATGGCATGGTCATTTGGTTTTTTTTAAAAAAAAAAAAAATGTTTTAATTAAAGAAAAAAAAAAAAAAAAAGTCCATTGTACCGTAGCACCGTTTGTGCTTCTTTAAAGCTGATACGTTATTATAAGAGACGTTGAAATAAACTCGCTTAAACTTTCGCATTAGTATGCATTGGGAGGTTCTTATGTAAGGACTAGAGGTTCGATTAGCCATGTTGAGAAAGTACCTAATCATGGAATCATTGGTATTATGAGAAGTATATATGCATTATGTCATGTGACAGAAAGGGAGGGTGCAACGAAGGAATAGGGGGGAATGATTATTGTTACCCATACCTATAGGTATTATACGTAACACACATATAACACACCACATGGTGTTCCACTTTCTGCGGTTACACAAAAATGATAGGTAGGATGTACTTGGTAAGTTGACCAATATGACTAATTATAACAGGGATGCATCATGTGCTGTAACTTGAACTTTTACTTACCTCAAGTACCTCGCGTTTTTATGCTGTATTAGGTACCTTGCATCATGACAATAAAAGATCGGGGAGTACCTAAGAGCCTTGATGAAATGCAGCTATTCGAAGAGATTAACTTGTTCCTACGATGACACGCCCGTATACCTAAGGTAAAGGCAATGCAATACTTAACAAACATTCCCAATTCTGGCACCGTATACATTGGGGGCCACGGCATTACCTGTAGGTATTGTACATGTTGGTCAGTAAGTGCGTACTTAATTCATTCTGGGGGTACCTAACTTACCTTTACCTAGGTCCCAGCCTACCTAAGGGTAGCAAACTCATTGATAGCCTGTTTGCATCTGGCCCGCCTGCTCATCTTTAAGCTAACCCAATATTTTTGTTGGTCTCTTTTCATCAGTTTCTTATCCTTGAGGGACTAAAATCTTATGAATAAAAGAGAATGGCAGCAGTAGGCGGCGTTTTCGAAGCTGATACAGCCAAAGCTAAGACGACTGGTCCTGATATGGTAGAGATGGCTAGAGGGAAACCTCCGTCCCATGCGGAAATGCAGGATCCGCCGCTGCAATCGAACGAGACGGATACTGAGATGGATACCGGGACGCCTTCTCCTCCACCCTTCAAACCTAATTTCCGAATCTACGCTATTATCGCCGGCTTAGGCATCACGAATTTACTGGCAGCACTAGAGAACACTGTCGTTTCGATCGCAGCACCTGTCATCCTGACAGACCTACAGCTCGGTGATAATTTCATCTGGGTCATCAATGCCTTCTTTCTTTCTAGGTATGCACTGCGACCAACTATAGCTCACCCCCCCTTTAAAGGTAATGGCCGCTAACGTCTTTAACATTAAATCAGCACCGCAACACAGCCATTATTTGGTCAGTTCTGCAATGTCTTCGGTCGAAGATATGTCATGCTCACCGTTGTCGGCCTGTTCATGCTCGGCAGTGGTATCTGCGGAGGGGCTAGTACGGGCGGCATGTTGATCGCGGGACGGGCTGTTCAGGGCGTTGGCTCGGGTGGCATCATCATGGTGTCGAGCATCATCATTAGCGACTTGGTACCGCTCCGCCGCCGAGGTAACTACTCGGCCATTCTCATGTCCATCTTCGGCATCGGCTCCGCGCTCGGCCCCTTCATCGGCGGCGCTATCGTCTCTTCGACGACGTGGCGTTGGATCTTCTACATGAACTTGCCAATCGGCGGTGCAGCCTTTGCAGTGCTCTTCGTATTCTTACGTGTCAGCTATAACAAGGAGATGTCATTTTGGCAGAAGCTAAAGCGTATAGATCTGGTTGGAAATGGCATATTGGTAGCCAGTACGGTGTCTGTCCTATACGCCCTGAGTTATGCAGGTACACGGTATCCTTGGCGGTCATGGCACACGCTGGTTCCGCTACTCGTGGGCTTTCTGGGTCTTTTTATATTCGCCTGGCTCCAAACCAGCGGGCTTTCAGCCGAACCTCTCATGCCGCCGCGTTTTTTCCGAACTCCCACCTCGGTTATACTAGCCATCAATACCTTCCTGTACGCGGGCCTCCTTTACTGGTGCATATTCTTTCTACCGGTTTTCTTCCAGGGCGTTCTTCTTTACTCGCCGCGCCGGTCTGGCGTTGCCATGCTCCCTATTTCGCTCCTTGGCATACCAGGTTCCATAGTAGGCGCTGTTGCGCTCGCCCGCTGGGGCCGCTACAAGCTAATTCATATAGTTGCGTTTGCCATCCAAACGCTTGGGCTTGGTCTGTTCACATTACAGTGGGAAGAGACAAGTGTTGCGCAATGGGCTATATTTCAGTGCATTGTTGCAGTCGGTGGCGGCATGGTTTTCACGACGATGCTACCGGCCTTCCAGGCGTTTATTCACGAGCGCGACTTGGCGGCTTGCACGGCGACCTGGTATTTTCTCCGCCTTTTTGGCCACGTCTGGGGAGTGGCGATACCGGCCGCCATCTTTAACGACCGCGTGAGCCAGTTGCTCACTGAGGGGGCCGTTTCCAACCCTCAGGTGGCCCAGATTATCGGATCCGGGAGCGCGTACCAGGAGGCATCAGCCGACTTCGTCTACCAGTTTCCGCCGGAAATACAGACGGAAATCCGTGCTGTTTATAGGCAGGCGATTCAACGTGTCTTCCAAATCTCCATCGTATTTTCTGGAGTAGCGTTGATATTGAGTCTGTTTGAGAAGGAGGTCAAGTTACGTACAACCCTCGATACTGAATTTGGTTTGGAGGAGAAGAAGGACACTGAATAAGATGCCGACAGGGACGCTCAGATGAGGGAGTCGTTGATAAAGGGGGAGGGGTCTGACTCTTTACCCCGTGAGACCATCTTGAAGGAGGAACTTCCACTTAAGCTTGTCGTTTACTTAATATTACGGAATCCTTTTTGTTTGGATGATGTGAAGATGAACCTACGTAATTCTAATTCTATTTTACTAAACATATTGAATTTTGAAGCAATAACTAACATTACTTACCTCTAACCTACGCAGTAGACTTAAAAGTTAATATACCTTAGGTACCTAGATGTTAAATGAATCTTGGGTTAGTTTTAGGCTAGTTAACTGGCAATCATTTATTATTCCGTAATTACCTAGACCTATGCGTCGCATCGTCTTTCTTCCTCGCTTTTCTTTCTTCTCTCTTCCTCGCTTTTCTTTCTTCTCTCTTCCTCGCTTTTCTTTCTTCTCTCTTCCTCCCTTTTGTTTGTTCTCCCTTTTTTTGATTTACTTTATAATGATGGGCACTGTGTAAGAGGTCTAGGTACTTAATGTAATCAATCCTATGGGTACCTCTTTACCTGCAAGACTTAATCTCCAAGTCAGCCGCCAACTGTGCGACCCTCCCTTTTTGCCACGAAATACCTTAGGTACATGAGGTAGGTAGCAATGCCGAGGCTCACATGCGTACGCGGGGGTATTCGAATAGCATGTAATTCTCATAATTCGTATTTTAGCATCCGATAAATCCTATCGCATCTGCAAGCCAACAATCAACCAACCAACCAACCTGAGAACAGCTTCCGCGTGTCCCCTCCTCGCCCTTCTCAAGTTCAAGTTGAAAGTTACGTTATCAAGGGAGGAGTTTATCGCCGCCTAGCCTTAGGTTTCCATGGCCTCAAACAAGGTGGAAGGGACCTACGTCCCATTTTCTGACGCCATTAAAGTCACAAAACTGGATTCGCACCATTATAAAATTCATCTTAGCGAGGCCTTCTGCCTGGGTACAGGTAAGGGAGGGAGAGGGAGAACCCGATTCCCTAGATTTGGACAGTTGTTCGTTCTAACATCAACTTAACCCAGTTCCTAATGGCGGTTACGCAGCCTCGTGCATGCTCTCCGCCGCAAGTATTCACCTCTCCCCAAATAACCAGCCGGACACTCTTACTGCACATTTTGAATATCCAAACCGAACAGCCGTTGGTCCCGCTATCGTAGAAATCGAGGACGTGAAGCTAGGCCAGCAACTTTCTACGCTCCATTTAACCCTTTGGCAGGACGGTCTACTATCACAAGCACCATGGATCACCCCCTCCGTTTCACGCCGTACTATACTTGCCTATACAACCCACACAGATCTACGAAACTTTAGCGGCATCTCGCTACCGACCGGCTACGAAGGAACACCCGCCGCGGCGCTTCCTCCCCTGCCAAACTTCGAGGAGCTTAAGGCCAAGGGCAAAGACGACGCTTGGGAGGAGTCAATCACGCCCCAGCCATCCAAGTTCGTGCGCTCCCTGCGAAACTGGCACTTCTACCTGCCCCGCCACGGGGCCCTGACGCCGGGGGTCTTGGACATGTGGATCGGGCTGGCGAGCGGGGAGCGCATCACGCAGAGGGCGCTGCCGTACGTGGCGGACTCGTTCCCGTTCAATCTGCACCTATTCCTGGCGGCGCCGGAGCTGCGGCAGCTGCTGGAATCGCAACAAGCGCCGGGGGAGAAGGCGGAGACGCGGGCGGCGCGCGAGGACCTGCGGAAGCGGGACCAGCAGCGGGGGGCGCTGTGGTTCCCGACGGTGGTGATGAACCTCGAGATGAAGACGCCGCTGCCCGAGGACGGCGTCGACTGGCTCGCCGTGCGCATCACCTCCAAGCAGATCAAGGACGGCCGGTTCGACCTCGACATGCTGATTCGCGATGCGGAGGGCGAGATTATAGCGTTGAGCCACCACGTCGCGATGATCCTGAGCGTGCAGAGGAATGTTGGGAAACGCGACTTTAAGGGCAAGGCGGCGTTGTGAAGGGAACCTAACTTGATGTAATATAACTATCGTATTCTTATTGCAATTGTAATGGGTTGGACAATGTCTGATACATATCTTCTACCTTAAGAACTGGTAATGTTTGGGGCGTATTAGGGGAAAGCCTAAATTTAGGTATCACCGCTATGATTCGAAATAAACCTTAGGTACCTACCTACCTAATACCTACCTGCCTAGCCTCTAGGTACTTAAAGTTGGTTGCTGTGGAAACAAAGAATAGGTAGCGCTGGAGGTCTTCCATACACCTCTGTATCAGTCCTGCCTCTGTGCCAGATTATTTATCACCAACCAAGTTGTTTTCAACAATGGTAATTCTACGAGAACACAGCCATTACCAATTTTTGTTAACATCGTTACGGTATCTAAATAAAAGATATATGCATTTATTTGAGCAGCATAATCCGCATAATCTCCATAAAAGGTCCATACGCGTGCTGCGGAAGTACCAGGTAACGGACTTACCCACCTATTAGGTACGTACCTAGGTAGGCGGACAGGTTGGCACCTGGGCAGACAGCCCACCTGAAATCACGTGAGTGCAAAAAATTAGCCCGTGCCCCTCGCCTTCGTTAGCCCACAGAAAGTGGCACAAATCTAAAATCTTCAACACCAGACATCGCGGTTTTTTTCACCGTTGTCCCCCCCGGTAGCATCAATCCCCCCCCAATCCCTTTTCATCAAGGAGATTGCCCAAGATGCCGCCGCCACCCCACCAGAAGCCTGAGAATGTTCTCAAGCGAGCCCAAGAGCTCATCGGCGTCAATCAGGCTCCCGCCGCCCTAAACCTTCTCCATGACCATATTACATCCAAACGCTCCCGAAATGTCCCCATCGTCTCTCTGGAGCCTGTCATGCTCCTTTTGGTCGAGCTATCCGTCGAGCAGAAGAAGGGAAAACTAGCCAAAGACGCACTCTATTCCTATAAGAATATTGCCCAAAATACCAACATCAGCACCATCGAACTCGTACTCAAGAAGTTTATCGAGTTGGCCGCCGAAAAGGTTACAGAGGCACAGAAGAAAGCGGATGAACTGCAGGAAAGCATCGAAGCGACTGCGACATCGAGCATCGATGACTTGGAAGCCAGCGAAACCCCCGAGTCTATCTTGTTAGCCACCGTCTCGGGCGAGCAATCCAGGGATCGCACCGAGCGTGCTGTCGTCACGCCGTGGCTCAAGTTCCTATGGGAAGCTTACCGTACCGTCCTCGATATCCTCCGAAACAATGCCAGATTAGAAATTCTCTACCAGAGCACCGCTACTCAGGCCTTCGATTTCTGCCTCAAGTACCAGCGAAAGACGGAGTTCCGACGACTCTGTGAGCTCCTACGCAACCATGTCCAGACCGCCGCCAAATACTCGAGTCAGATGCATGCTATCAACCTCAGTGACCCTGATACCCTACAAAGGCATCTGGAAACCCGTTTTCAGCAGTTAAATGTCGCTGTCGAACTTGAGCTCTGGCAGGAGGCCTTCCGAAGCGTTGAAGATATCCATACCCTTCTCAACCTTAGCAAGCGACCTCCCAAGAACGTTATGATGGCCAACTACTACGAGAAACTTACCCGAATCTTCCTCGTCGGCGAAAACTACCTTTTCCATGCCGCTGCTTGGTCCCGATACTACTCTCTCCTCCGACAGTCCGCAGCTCTTGTGGCCACCGGCCAGAGCAAGAAGTCCGATAACCCTTCTGCTACCGAGGCAGATCTTCAGAGGGCTGCTTCTTTCGTTCTTCTGTCGGCTCTCTCGATTCCTGTCATCAGCACATCCCGATCTCGAGGCGCAATGGTCGACTTTGACGAGGCTAAGAAGAACAAGAACTCGCGTCTCACTCATCTGCTGGGCATGGCCACCGCGCCTACCCGTGCCGGCTTGTTCCGTGATGCCCTTTCCAAGTCACTTCTAAAGCGCGCCCGCCCGGAGATCAGAGATCTCTACAACATTCTCGAGGTCGACTTCCACCCCTTGTCCATCTGCCAAAAGATTTCCCCTATTTTGACCAAGATCAGCGCCGACTCCGAAATGGAGAAGTACATTTTGCCGCTTCAACAAGTCATCTTGACTCGATTGTTCCAGCAATTGTCTCAGGTGTACGAGTCCGTTGACCTAGCGTTCGTAGAGAGCCTTGCCCAATTCCCTGATCCTTTCCAGATTTCTCGTGGAACTATTGAGAAATTCATCATGAATGGGAATAAGAAGGGAGACCTCTCAATTCGTATGGACCATGCTACCGGTGTACTAAACTTCGACAAGGATGTATTCGCATCTTCAAAGGCTGTCCATGCCGGCTCGGCGGCCGGTTCCGCAGAAAGCCCTATCGGGTCCGTGCAACGTCTTCAGAACACCCCTTCGGAGATTGTCCGCTCGCAGCTGACTAGACTAACCACTACCCTATACACTACCTGCTTCTATGTTGATCCATCTTACCGACAGCGCCTAAGCGAATCCCGACAAGCCGCACTGGCCAGGGCCAAGGCTGGCGCTGAGCAAGAGCACCATGAGATTCTAGCCCGCAAGGACATTATCCAGAAGCGAAAGGAAGAGGCGTCCGAGCTGCAGGCGAAGAGAGAAAAGGAGAAGGCAAGGCAGAAGCGTCTCCAGGAGCAGGCGCTAGCCGAAGCTGAGGAGCGACGGTTGGCTCAAGAGCAGAAGGAGCGCGAAGAGAAGCGTCTCAAAGACGAGAGAGATCGTGTCCGCAGAGAGGAACTCAAGAAGCAGATTGCTGACCTCAAGATCGGACCCAATGCTATCGACATTGATATCGAGAACCTGGACGAATTTGATAGCAACCGTCTTCGTGCTATGAAGCTTGCCCAGCTCGAGAGGGAGAAGAACGATATCAACGAGAGGCTTCGCATTACTGGAAAGCGCATTGACCATCTTGAGCGTGCCTTTAGGAAAGAAGAAGTCAAGAAGCTTCCTGAAGATTATGCCAAGCAGCGTGAGCGTGACTTGGCTGCTTACGAGGCCACGAAGGCAGAGACATTGAAGGAGGCTGAGGAGAAACACAAGCACAGTGTCGAACTCAAGCATCGCCTAAGCCGGCTCATGCCTCACTACGAATCGTTCAGGAAGTCTCTACATGATCGTCGCCGTGATGAATTCGAGAAGCGTCAACGCGACGCCGAAAGAGAGCTGGAGAAGCAAATCACAGCCCGCAAGAAGGAATACCGCGAGCGCAAGCTGCGGGAGAAGCGAGAACGGGAAGAAAAAGAGAGGGCCCTGCGAGAGCAAGAGGAACGTGCCGAGCAGGAAAAGAGAGAACAAGAGCAGCGCGCCGAAGCGAAGCGCCAGGAGTTACTCAGAATCAAGGAGCAGCGAGAGAGAGAGCGCCAAGAAGCTCAAGAAAAACAAGCTCTTCAAGAGAGAAGAGCCGAAGAAGCGCTTGCCAAGAGAAAAGCAGAGAAGGAACGAGAGCGCACGCAATCCATACGCGAGCCAGCCGACATGAGCCGTACTGGCTCCAACGATCGGCCGTCTGGAGCGCCGCGTCTCAATCTTGCCGGTGCCAAAACGTCTTGGCGTGAGCGCGAAGCCTCGAGAAGTGCCGCTGGTGCCGCCGGTAGCAACGGGCCAAGCCGTACTGGTACTCCCATGGGGCGCACCGATTCTAACGAGCGTCCCGCCCCCGTCGCCGAGCGTGCGTCTGGACCACCCCCGCTGCCTCTCCAAGGAAAGCAGCCTACTTGGCGTGAGCGCGAGGCTGCTAAGCAAGCTCAAGCAAGCGCTGGTGCCCCGATTGCTTCCGGAGACAGGGAAAATGCACCGCCGGCGGCCCCTGCACAGGCTCCTACTGAGACTCTAAAGCCTTCTGGCGCTGCTGGAAAGTGGGTGCCCCGATTCCGCCGAGAACAGCAAAGTTAAGGTATTGGAGGACCGGCGTTATGGGGGGTTTTGGTTCAGTATGAATGACTACTACCTAAGCTTGTAGTTTAGATTTACGAAGAGAAATAAACTGCTTTCTGACCTTCGAGCGCGCCCCACGATCATATGCCGGACTTTCAACGTTTACAAGTCATGTTTGCTTATTATAATAGGTTGAACAAGTACTAAATTTGTCACGCTGGGTATAGGAATGGTAATGTCTATGCATCAGGAGGTTTTGTCTTAAGATACTTAGTGTAGTAAGGGTATTCATCAAAGATTTTAATCGATTTGATTTTTAATTATTTATGGCATTGAATCCTTATATACCGATTTCGTAATATAAGGTACCTCCTAAGCGTATGCTACTAGGCACGGGGTATTTATTACCTATCCAACGTCTTTTCTTTTTCTTTCCATTTCCCGTCGTATATTTTTATCCATGGCCGAACCGTCTAGATCCAAACAAGGTCGTTATATAGGTACCTAGGTGCCTAAGGTATATATCAGTGATAGCCATTAAGCATCATAATCTCCAAGTCGTGGGCAACACCCGGCTCCCCTCCTCCGGCCGACGCGCGACGGGATCGGCGCTGAGCTCGACCGGCTTCTCGTGGGTCGCTAGCTCCTTCACGGGATCGAACCCGGATAACGTGTACTCCGTCGGCAGCTCGCTTACCGGCGCGCCTTCCAGCTGGACTTTGTGCTCGGTTCCTAGCGCGACGCCGATGCCGATGCCGTCGGAGGGGTGGTCGCCTTTATCGTCTTTATCGCCTCCTCCTCCTGCGCCTCCTTCTTGTGGTGGATTGGGATGGTCCCCAAGCTCGCCGCCGGATCGAAGCTTCGAGTGTCTCCTTCCGAGGCGGAAGGCGTACAGGACTAACCCCCCCGTGAGCGCGATGCACGCGATGACTCCGCCTACTGATAGCCCTGCTATAGCCCCGCCGCTTAGGCCGCCTCCGCCCGAGTCCGGAGACTGCTGCTGCTGCTGCTGCTGCTGGTCGGTGGCGGCTACTGGTAAAGTCGAAGTCGCGCTTGGTGTTGTTGTTGCCGACGCGGTCGGTGGTGGTGATGACGATGGCCTACTACCGCCCCCCGGCGTAGACCAAAACGGCGGGAACCCCGAAAAGTCGCCGCCGGCTGGCGCCCCGTTGTCGCTGCAGAACTGCAGGAAGCCCGAGTGTAGCTCACCTGCACAACACAGCAAATCAATATACAGTACTAGGTACATTACATGCGCCTCCTACACGTCTCGACGCATCATTGTAACGACGACGCTCGGGGTAAGGCACCGCCACGATAGGTTACCGGTTAATAGTCGTTGGCCGTTCGGGCAGGGCAAGGCAAGGCAAGGCAACGTACTCCTGATCTGCTCCGTGGAATTGCCCGCGCACGCGCCCTGGGCGCAGGACACCGCACCCGGGCCTATGGACCGGATGTTGCTGCACAGGCACCGGACGTCGCTGGGCCCGGTGCAGTTGGAGTTTTGCGCGATGGAGGTTAGGACGCACGGCTGGGCGCATTCGGGGACGTACGTCGTGAGGTTTTGAGAGGAGGCGGCGATTGCCAAGGAGATGCACGCGAGTATGAGGAGCAAGACTCGTAGGCGAGGCGCCATCGTCGTAGCGCTGGTTATATATACCTACCTAGTAGCAACTCGTCCCGTCTCTGAGTTCAGAGACGACGCCTCGGTAGCATCAAGGGCTTGGGGAACAAGGGAGAAAAAAAGTGGGTGGGTAAGCCACAACCGTGTAGCGGGAGAGAGAGAGAGAAGAACCCCGGGGAGGAAGAGCAACTTTTTCTTCTTTAAGGGAAAGGGAAAAAAAAGGGGGGGGGGGGGGGGGGGGGGATAAGGGTCGCGGGGGCATTGCCCCGGAAAAATTTAAAAGTTAAGGCGATATATTACAGGGGAAAAATTTATTTTATGTGAATGTTATTAGGGGACATGC